AGTTGTAGATTGCTCGTTAATGGATTCTATGTCTAGGCAACGTTGTGGGCAGTGATCAAGTCCATCCGCTTCCGGAAAATCGAGAGACGAACAAGGACTTCGCGGTGCCGAACTCCAGGCGTGAGCTCCGTCTGTTTCTGGGAGTAGTGGCTTATGGCTCGAAACTTGTGCTTTGTTTTGCAGGGAGCCTCAGCCCTTTGTTAAAGCTGTTACACAAAGACGAACTGTTCCTGTTGACAGTCGAAATGGATGAAACTCATAACCTCCTAAATGCATGCATAGCAGAAGCCATAACGTGTCCGCAGCTACCCAATCCTGCTGAGAGATTCACTGTGACAGTTGACGTAAGCAATATAGCATTCAATGCGTTATTGTCCCAACTAACTGGGGTGGTGAAATATGGGGGTAGAGTAGAGACAGTGGCAGAGCAGAAGTATTCCACGATGGAGAATGTATGGCCGATGTGTGGGCATTGGAGAAGTGGAGAACTAACCGCCTGGAAGTGTATTCTGTGTAGCCACTGATCACAAGCCGATTTCATGGACCATGACAGTGAAAGACTCACGCGGACGTCTTGCACGGTGGGCAAGCCGACAGAGAACAGAGAACACGTACACGGAAAGCAGAACCCACTATCGATATGTTGTGAAATAGCAGTTGGACGACCTCATGCCGAACAATGCCATACCGGTTCGTGTGGTCACAGCGGATGTTGGGAAACCGCTGAGAGCTCAAAAGTTGGATGAATTTGTGAGGGCACTGTGCTCTCTCTTACAGAATTGCACCAAGCCGGAGACCACATTAGTAGAGGTGGAGCAACTCGTTATCATCTGGGACAGGCTAAGGGTCAAACAGATTTTGTGGTTGTTGCGACTGACGGAAAAAATATCTTTCGTTCCACCGAAACTGTGGAAGGGTGTGATGCGAATAACTCATTATGGCGCCCATTTTGGATTTGGACGAGTCTTAGAATTGCTACGTAGGTGGGGGTTCTGGCCTAGCCCAAGAAGGGACGTTGCGTCACACATCCAGGGAAATCGAATCTGCCGAACGAATCGCGAGGTGGACGTACTGAGACCAACAAGGCAGTCGATCGAAGTCATTGATCCATTACATTACTGGGGACTGGATGTATTTGGGCTCTACCAAGTTGGTCGACCAGCAAACCGATAGGTTCTAGTGAAGACCGACCAGTTCACTAGCTGCACGCAAGCCAAACCAATCAAGAATACGACAGGCGATACCGTGTCGCAAGCACTCGAATTCAATGAATCAGGAAGTTATGGAATACCACATGGTGTCATCAACGACCAAGGGTCCTGCTTCAAATCCAAAGCTTTTAAGACGGTTTTGGACAAGTGGAGCATCCAGAGGCGACCTACTTCACTGTACCGCCCGCAGGCCAACGGTACGACAGAACGGCTTCACCGGACTACAAATCGATCGACGAAACTGCACGAAGTTGTCATGGGAGGAAGCATTGCCTGAAGTTCTGTGTGCATATCGGACCAGTACAAAATAGAAGACCAAGATTTTGCAGTTATAATTACAGGTTTGTAGAGAACCACGGATTACACTCAATAGGTACTTAGCGGAACCGGGTGAGTGGGAAATTCTGGCACTGCATAATGAATGACTGAAAGCGCCAGCAAGAAGAGGAACCAAAGCCCAACAAGCACGCAGTGAGAGGAAGTACGACGCCAGGCATGAGGCTCACAAGCAGACGGCATTCGGGATTGGAGAACAAAGCAAGCTACGGAACAAAGACTGACTAGGTCAGAAAGAGCCAGGTGCGAGCAAGTTCAGAGAAAGCTGGAGAGGCCCCTAAACCGTACACACTCGGAAATGAGCAAACTTCAAATCGATAATGAAGGAATGAAACGCTCGGTGAATGCCGCCCTTCAACGTCCAAGTTAGGAGAGAAAAATAAACTTCGAGAAGGGCGGGTTTGGGGAGGCAGTATTAAAAGACTACTTAAGAAGAGGAAAGACAACAAAAACGCTTTAGTAGGGAATTACCAAGGGGCACAGTGGATGAGATGCGACAAAGGCAGTGCTAGTCTTGCGGATCGAGCCGACAGTGGATCACAAGCGACATCTTGTAACGAGCCTGGGTCCAGTACAACGGAGGAGGTATTTGAGGAGAACGTAGCTAATCAGGCAAATGCGCCGCTAGCGAAGCCAACAGGACAGAACGCGAGCCGTGTTATGCAACCACGGAAAAGCAAATGGCAAGCATTCGGACAATTCCTGATTGGCCGGAATCTGAGATAGTGAAGCGTAGATACGGGATGAAAACCTGGAGGGATTCTTCCAAATCTCAAACTCGTACGTAGATGAAATCATCCACCACACAAATCCTCATCCGCGGTGCGTCATGGGCAGAAAAGGCGGTCTATATCTGTACGGGTCTGTGAGTGATCAGTTTGCGCATTGTTGTGGCAATAAACACACTCTGCTCCCCGCTTGCTTCGTTCTCACTACATATTAACCATATGCTTTTGCCTCCCACTTCTGATGGAAGGCGTTACCTGCATGGATTGTGGCGACCCAACACTCAAGACGCGATATGCTAGCTTGGCAACTTCATCAAATCCGTACTGGGCTATCTCGGAGAACATTTCATTTACGTTTGACCAGTTAGTGGGAATATTGAGCGTACTCGAGTTGCCGTAATCAATAGTGTGTTGTAAATTGTCGATTTTATCTATGAAATATTATGCACGTCAGCGTGTTTGAACGGGAGTATTGCATGAGTACCGCGAATCAAAGACTATCTATGGATACTGTTACGATCACATGTCATTGGCTAGTGGATACGAGGCTCAAGACAACAACATTTACACCCCGTACTGCATCATGTGGGGAAAACAATAAAAAAGGCAAAGGTTTATTCTCTATGTCTCACGGGGTACAACAAAGAAGGCATGGTCAGTTATGCAAAAACAAATGTGCCTTGATTACAGTTTGGTCCAACAATAGTCTTGACAATGTAAGGGAGTTGAAATATATTTTCCAAGACAAGCGATGTGCGTGTGATAATTATTAAACATCACAAGTTCATTCCTTGTTGTGTTTGGCAAATTTCACGACTACGGAATTGTCGGTAAGCACGAAAATGATGTAGAATTTTATCGGAACTATATGTTGTTTCTTTGACTGAAATTGCCTGTAATCCCTTAAATGTAGCTGCTTTCAAACCGATTGCTTGCGCAGATATTTGCAAGCATCTACTGCCTAGTTTCCGTTGCTTCGTTTTACACTGAGTCAAATCTACTTGGGCCGCGTTATTTTCTACCCAAATGTAGTTGATGTAATAGTGAGTCTTGTGGGGGTAAGGATCGGAATGGTTGATTACGGAAAATCCAGAGTTGTTTCAATGTACTTCACTTGTCATTCAGTACGTCTCTGAAAAGTAGGAAAGACGGACAATAAACAAGAGACAATCAAACAGGCCGCCAGACCGAAATGTAATAGAAACGCAAATAGAAATGTACACGAAATGCAACAAAGCGTTAATCATTGAAACGCTGTGTACATTTGTGGATATAGATATGTACACTATTTCTTACACACAAATAAAGTACGGGAAGGCGCGAAGCGACGCAAATTGGGGCTGGATGCTTGTTAACTGCAGAATGAAAAAGGCAGTTCATGAAGCGAGTACAAAAGAGGTTAAGTCGTCCTAAAAACGCTAAATTAGAACTACTTCAGGCATAGCAATGGAAAGCAAGATGTGGGGTTGACCGCCCGCATGCAGCAGAGTGAGTAGTTATTTAATGATGTTAAATCTATGTGCACACTAATGGGTATTAGGCTAAGGCGTTGCGTCGCGCAGTAAGATTCCGTCTTCCTGGCCAAGTAAGAGAACCGTGGGAGTACAGACTGAGTAATGAAAGCGAGAGCTGGTTTGCAGTTAAATAAAGTTATTCTAACTGGCAGAGATTTTATCTGACGTTTCGGGCCTCGCATTCAGTATCGAAACCAACGCACAACAGTGCCTCTAACGGTGGCGTGAATTTTACATTCAGATAACCTGTTGTTATCGGGTCTGGATCGCTATTAATAACGACGGACTACACCGTGATTTACGTCGCGCAGATTTAAGGTTATGATGGATATGGTCGTCGTTCCTATTTCTCATCTTCAGAGTGGTTGCAAAGTGATAATCCGATAACTTAATCTTTTACTTACTTTTTAAATGCTCATCGGGATAGGCCGGGCTTTACAAGGTGTGAAGCTTGGAATGAAATACCAGAAAAAGAAGATTGGATGAGCGTACACAAGCAGGCATAAGCATGGGGGCCACGCTGTTAACTCTAAGTGGACTAGACGAACTATGGTCGTATAAGACACCCACTAAACATATGTTGTCGCGTCTTTTGTTGATGATTGCGCCAAAGCCTTGCTTAACGACCCATGTCGGTAAGGGAACATATGCGCGTATGCGGTGTCAATTTTTCCAATACAACATTGATTTGGAGGAGGCACACTTGAAATTTCCTATAAGATGAGAAGGGATGCCTTCGTAGAAAACTAACTAATAACAGGCACTACACTTGATGTATGCTAGTATCGAGGCAATAAACTAAGGCAGCTCACAGAGATGGCGGGAAATTCTTGGCCAATGTCTGCATGCAATTGTTTTGATTAAAACACTACACCATTTGGCCACGCCATTTTATCGAACCAATCTCCGGGTAATAGCTTTGCCTTAAGATGTCGTTATTGAATGGGGACGAACTAGATCGTACTACCCCGTTTTGCCCAATTCTCTTGCACTCATGCTGAGTTTGCAGCAGGGTCGCCTCAGTTTTGTCATACCTGCTGTTTTGTGCTTAATCTACCCAGGGAATGGCACCATAAAGCGCCCCGTCGACATTACAACCACTTAAGAGATTCACAAACTCAACTACCTCGTTTCCTCAATTTATCACAGTATATATTGCTCAATGTCACACTGGGTTTCTAGCTAACGCAAAAATGCCTATCGTCTTATTAATGTTCGGCGTCTCAGCCATTTTAGCTTGTCATATGTATGGGTCTATAGGTACGTTCATAGAACAGGTTCGCATGTTTCCCTTGTGCAACACCAAATCCATCTATTATACTTTATCTTTTTTAGATGCTGTCAACGAAAACAAAGCAATCAAGTCATCTCATGCGGCAGCTCAAGCACCGAGCATAGCAGATCATCAAAAACATGCAAATCAACATGATGGTGTTGATGGCGCGTCAATATCAAGCCATTTGGAAGCAAATTCGCGTAAGTTCTACCAAACTAATTCAATTCAATATACAAAACCTATTCGCTGTTGTATCCGGACGCATCATCTTAATGTTCATTGAATTACTGCAACAGAATTTCTCAATTTGTGCAGTTCCTTTTCTTAATTTCCACGTCACAGGGGATGACCCTATTGGCAATCGAAATAGAAAGTTTACTGATGTGCTTATGATTTTTGGTTTGGGATAATACCACAATATTGATAGTCATGCTGAAGGCCGACTTCCACTTCGGATGACTTTGTATGCACTGACTGTTGTATTTTCTGCAACTCGCACACCAGTATTTCTGTCATCTCTACGAATACATTTGTGTCCCTTGTTCGCTGTCGTTTTGCCTCAGTAGTAGAGTCATCATGTGTGTGCGACCAGCTGTATTGGTAGTTGGCGCTGTCAACTGACCAACAGCTGTGGTCTGGAATCTCATAAGCATTTGCGCTAACTGCTGTTGGGTATCATGTTCTGGGAATCTTCAGTCCCACCATCACATGCAATCTGGGTAATCACACACTGCATGGCTGATGCGTACTGAGTAATCGTTGCTACTGCTCTAACTGAAGTAGAGGCTGTCGTCTTAGAAGGTCAGTTAGCCAGTGGCGATACACCAACTAAGTAGTGTTGGTTGCCTGTCGAATTGTCGCAGGCTGGGTACCCCATGACTCACATTCGGCCATTGAAACCACTGTGTTGCTCGAGATACGTATGTGATATATACTCCTGGGTGATTCCAAGCAATGCAGTGGCAATGCAACGGGAATCGACTGTGGCAGGTGGCACTGCTTGGCAGTGTATGGCCAATGAGCACTTGGGTTAATATTCCACAACCAATGAGACTTGCTACTAGACAGTTTAGGATTCGCGATGGGTCTAGCAAATTGCCCCAAAGTGCGTGATCTTGCTCATTAACTGGGAGCAACAGGTAATGAAGTGAAAATTCGCAAAACGTAACGAGGCAACACTGGAGCCAAACCAGCAACTAGGAAGTGTCTATTACTATGTAATTGTGGGGTTGGAAGGATCTTAGAAGAAAAGTAGACAGCAAATCTAATGCTTATGGAATGTTAATAATAATGTTGTGTCGCTTTACATGGCAACAAAAACACTAAGGAATGCTACAACATCCTGACTGGCATGAATGTAAACTCCTCAGCAAGGTCAAATTTGGGTTTATGGTGTCAATCTTGTGAGGGGCGAAACCGAAACCCATCCTCAATATATTAGAATACCTGCTAAGGGAATGCTACCTAATGTGCATTGCTTTACTGAGAAGTTGTATTGACCGTGAATTTGTGGCGGAAAAACAGAAATTGTGCTCGCATATACTTGAACCCTCGTCCACACATGACTACCCCACTGCAAAACCAAGGGGTGCAAAGGTTACATGTCAGCTTCCATGAGCAAGGGTGCTCAACATCTTGGTAATTGCCTGGGCAAATTCTGATCATAATTTCGCGCTGTTGGATGTCATTTGCTATATATTACAACCTAGTTGGTTCCCGCGGCAGATATGCACTATGAGCTGATGCTCGGTTGTTTGCACCATACGGGACGCGGTCGCAAATGTTCATAACCTATTCGTATAGGTACATAGACTGTCAATTCTGTGTGGCACTGTTGCTTACATTGTCTAACTCATTGAAAAGATTGCACAATGCACGATCTCCTCCACAACGAAGAATAAGATCTGCATGAAATTGACGTTGGGCATTTCGGACTTAGCGTTTTTGTACTCTATAACTGAAGGTTTTGCTTTTTGTTCTCCTGATCTTACTCAAAAATCTATGACGCAACACATCCTTTTTCACACTACCTGTCTTTGTGGAACCTGATATTTTCTGCCCAACCTCAAAGGTGTCATCAAGCAGACTGGTTTCGAACAAATGGACGACGACATAAACGTAGTTGCGACGGGACTGCGGAGGGCTTGGGAAGTAGAATCGTTTAGGAGCACAAGCAAGCAAAGCGAAGCTATTGGAAAAGGGACTCGACTGAAGAGGAAAGCACATACAGTGAAGTTGGGCTTTGAAATAATCATTTGTGACACCCGTACTGGAACCTATCTAACACACCTCGTAGATATATCACATTGGTATAAACAAAAGAAGCAATTCGCATAACGACATTGCAAGTCTACATTTTGATGTTTAATCCCGCGATAATATCATTAACCGAGTTTCGATTGCATGCAGACATATTTAACTCCACTGTGTTCAGTCTCTTGCGCGAACACTACCATGCTGAGCACTGCTCACAAGTTGCATACTCCAAGTGCTGGTATTTAGCCTCTTAGTGACCAACTACTTCGTCTGCTGATCTACTATATCGGTCAAGTGGGGTTATCCCAGGTGGTCAAATTGGCTCAGCACGTTCTACTGTTGCGATGATACACCTCTCAGGGGGTTCAAAATAACACGTACGTCTATGTAAAGTGCCCCTGGTTGATTTAGACAGACCAAGAAAATAAACAGCAATTTAAATATAATGATGGTTGAGACACTGTATTTTGAATATGTAATGTACACGGATTTAGTGACCAGGTTGTGAATGAAAAATAGCAGTAGTGTCGTAAACAACTAAACTTACTTTTTCAGTTTTCTTCATCATCATCATCAAATTCCGTAGCAGCAGTAATAACAACATTAACAAAGCAATAATTTTAACAGCCGCCTTGATGTTGCACAACTAAATGATCCTAACTCTCCAAATATATTAACAATGGCGTATCAAAACCATCGTTTAATACGAATAAGAGCAACCAGAGCTTAACATGCCCGTAAGATAGTCATGGTAGATCTTGCAGAATATTGAGAAGTGTAAACAAACGCCGGAGGAACCACCTCAGTTTATTTATTAGCAATTGTATATCAAGTGTGCGTCCATAAGAAAACACTAAAAATGAGGGACGATTTTGAAAAAATGTCTCCCTTTGATGAATACTCACAGGAGGTGAAAGTGATGGAACGTATTTTGGGAGCGGAGCGGCAGTAAATCTATATATTGGTATCGCCTTGATTTCGTCTGCGAATAGCAGGATATTTGTTGATTAGACCCTCATGCGATCAAGTATACAATCCAGAAGAGGCTGGTCACATGTATTTAGACACTGGGTGGGTAGCTGCGAACCCTCAGCTGCTGATGACGTCGAACAACAAAGTCGCTTATGCAGACCAGAAAGTGGTGGTCGACTCCATAGTTCTGAAGCTTGCAAACTACAGTGCGGTAATCAAGACGATCAAATCTCTTTCAGACATTCAGAGAGGCGTCATCTACCCCTAAAATACCTCAATAGGTTCCCTCCAGAATGCACGAGTTGGTGGTAGTACTGATTCTGGCTAACTCCGTACGACTCCGTAGTGAGAATTTTGTTACTCGTCTGGTACTAGTAAGTGTCTAAGCTTCAACGGACTCTGTGGTTTTGGAGACCACTGAAAGGAATGTTATCGAACGACAGTTGGCTCACGATGCAGGCCTAATGCATTTTAGATTGGAGCAGTGATATTTTGCCACTATTTTGCTTGGATCTTTATCTCGTTAAGGAACCGTGAAAAGCAGCTCGCTAGCGGTTCAGCTAAACTCATCGTAACCACCATTTGGTGAATCACGACAGCACCTAGGAAGCTGTACTAGCGCAAGCATATCCTCTACTTCCATAGATTTGTCGTTGTAATGTGTATGTAGTGAAGTCATAATAGTGGCATGACCAGCATATACAAACTTGTTATTCAAGAATATTGGCAGCCTCTTCAACCAATTCAACTAGCCCGCATGCTGTAGACTGAGCAGGCATTCCGCGCTAATCTCTACGAACTTTGTTCACATATCTGTAAAGCACTTTGGGTTAAGGGCAAAACCTTAGCATAAGGTCTCCTTGGTACGTGACTCTATCCGCCCTGACGAAATTGACGCAACGGTTCGGTTGTGTTCTGTAGACATCACAGGTTTTCTTGCGTGGAGAATATGTAGGATTGCCAAACCGAGTCCCTCAATACCATACATGTATGAGTCCTGCCACTTAGTAACGACTTCATCTTTTCTAGTGATGGATTTTGGTTTCTGATCTGATTACCACTAGACTGTTAAATCCGTCGGCGAAACACACTCAGGTCACTTCAGGGCGGCCATTCGGTTAACAAAGACTAGCATTCTGCGCCGTTGAGTTCGGACAGCTTATACTAATAATTCATGAGGTGAATTTACACGGTGCTCTGTTTAAGCTATGCTGCGTAGCACATGTAGCGCAGCACAACGTTTTGGTGATTGCTGCGGTCCAATGCAGTTCAGGTTGTCAATACATCCCTCGTTAGCTTTTCCTTGGTAAAAACGAATTCAAAAATAGCCGGTTTCTTGCTTATCCTGAAAAGTGTTTAAGAAGTGCTATGGATATACAGTGGTGAACCATGGAGCAGCACTTGCGGTTACGCCTTGAATTGCCCACCGAGATTGCCTCGGGTTGCTGCCGTAAAATCTTGCCAATACGTTCATTATCGCCGAGGCTTAAACCTGCTCTACCACCAATTGGACGCTTGTGGGTGGCATACGATTTCCAACGAAAATAGTTCTCCCTACCTTAGGTGAAGTCAATATCAAAGCTTTTCTACAGCTTGAACCTCTGGGGCATTAATGCAGTCAACGTTTAGGTCGGAACGATAGTAAGCAATTACACGGCCTTCTGGAGTGAGTCGGTCGTTGTGCAGCATTGTCATGTCAGGTAGTGAAGTCTCGGCGTTGGTAAACACTTCCAGCCATGTCACAGTTGCCATGATGTGGTAACAAGACATTGAGGCATGAAAAGATTGAGGAACGGCCATTTTGCTAAGTTGAGCTTGCGGGTTTTGTGCATAAAATTGAGAGCTACGGATGTCAAAAGTGTATGTGAACAGATAAACGCTTTAAGAATATTTACCTCGTCAATTGTGGGGCTGGGTGACAACGATTTACTACATGATTTCCTTGCGTAAATGCAGAAACGATTTTGTGTTGTTGCACAGAGCACCAACTGCCTAATCGTTCACAGGCGACTTGTCGCAGATTTGCCGTTTCTTCTTTGTCGGGCTGCTACGAGTTGCATTTCCCTCCATGTCAGAAACGCAGACAGCTGGACTCGCGACAAAATATCGCTTGCAGATTTTTGCTTGGTCAATGATATCCTGGCTTTGACAGCCTTCAGACCTATTGCTAATGTAGCATAAG